CATCATCTCTATTTTTAAATTATAAATTTTAACATAATTAAACCGTTTTATGAACTTTTTCTTATATTGATCAGTTTAAAAATTAATTAGTTCCACACTAGCTGTCCTAGAACTGAAAACCTTAATCGACAACTTCTGGAGATATTTAAAGACAACATGATTGAAACCGTTACATATAAACAATGGATTCGTGAAGAGAGATGCACATTGAAAACCTTGACATCACCAATAGACGAATATTTGCAATCCTTAACAGACGGTTTAGACAAATTGCTATTGCATTCCTTTATCGTTAAGAAACAGGCAGAGTTTTTAAATGATAAGAAAAGCAACTTAGCAAAAAATGAATGCATAGTTTTATGTGATTTTTCCGAAAATTATGCTTTTGTTGTTCAAAACTCTGTTCAAGGTATTCACAGGAATAATAATCAGGCAACGATTCATCCGTTTGCAATATACCACCTTGATGAAAATAAAAAACTACAAATAAAAAATTTCGTCTGCATATCTGACTGTTTACATCACAACACAACTGCTGTACATTTGTTCCAAAAATACGCGATCAAATTCATTAAAAAAATTAGTACGGATATCAAAAGAATTATATATTTTTCCGATGGATCGGGTTCACAATACAAAAATAAAAAAATTTTTATTAATTTAACTCATCACAAAGCAGACTTTGGTTTGGAGGCAGAATGGCACTTTTTCCCAACTTCATACGGCAAAGGACCATGCGACGGCTTAGCTGGTACCTTAAAGAGGAATGCTGCAAGAGCTAGTCTTCAACGAATACATAATCCAATTCAAACACCAAAGGAATTATTTAACTGGGCTAACGAATGTTTACCAAATGTTGTGTGCCATTTCTCAACATCGAAAGACTATGAAGCTGAAGAAAATAAGATTAAACACCGTTTCGAAGCAGCTACATCAGTTAAAGGCACATTAAAATATCACTGCTTTATTCCTAATTCGAAAACGATATTAATGGCAAAAATATTTTCTTCTGCAGACATTACAGATTATGTATCAATAATGAAATGATTATTAATAAAATCAATACAAAAACTTAAAAAAAATATTTTGTTTATAGTTCTTTACAGTTTATCTCTATATAGAATTGTTTACAGTTTATTTCCTATAACAATTCGTACCTGCTTAAAGAATTTTTTCAACTGTGTAATTATGTGCTGCAGTTATACAGGTAGTTCAGCTAGTGTGGAACTAATTAATTTTTAAACTGATCAATATAAGAAAAAGTTCATAAAACGGTTTAATTATGTTAAAATTTATAATTTAAAAATAGAGATGATGCGGAACTAATTTAAAATGTGAATATTGTGTCACTTTTCTTGGAAAATTGATTCAAGGGTATTATGGTGCGTATGAGTAACATGAAGGACACCTGATAAATTAATTTTTTTTAAATTACTTCTGGAAGCAATATCACACTGGAAATATTTATTTTCGAAGAAGAATTTATTGTTTAATCGGAATTAAAAGTAAAAATGAAAAATTTGTGTGACGTATTCCTCTGTTTTTTTTTTACTGAAAAATCGTGTGTATGTGTTTGGAGTGATGTGAAGGATAAATAAATTTTTTAAAAGTAGTTCCAACGACAATATCGTCCTGAAATTTTTGAGTTTTATGTACAATTTTATTACTAATTGAAATCAAAAATATTATATAAGAATATTTGTAGTATATTTCTTGAAAATTCATTCAATGTAAATATAGCACGCATGTGTTTGATGTGTTTTATGAGAAAAAAAAAATTTAAAAAATTTATAAAAATCGATACTATCATGAAAATTTTTATTTCTTAGTAAAATTTAAAACTGAATCTAAATAAAATATAAAAAATGAAAAATGTTGTGTACCCTTTTGAGATATCTTTTTTTTGAAATTTAACGGTTAATATTAGTACTTAAATATAAACAATCTTAATTGTTTAAACAATTTCTTAAAAGCTCAACATATTATCTTTAAAATGCAATAAATTTCAAGTTTCTACCTTTTATAGAACTTAAGATATAGCCAATTGAAAATGTGTCTACAATGCCAATTCTCAAAACCCCATGGGTCCATATCTCCTAGGAAAAAAATTACAAAATTTTTTCCCGAGATACGGGTCTTCTTATTTTATGAAAGGAGCTCATAAAAAAAATTTCAGCCAAATCGGAGGTGATGAGGTCAAAAAGGTGTCCGGTTTGTAAAAGAATGACCCATATACGTCTATGGTAGAATAATAGAACGTTCTCAGAATATATCTTCTATTTTCTAACCAAACTAACTGAACCGTAACTTACTAGTATGTTATGGGAGCCTAGTTAAAAATCGATTCCACTGAATTATAGTTTATCGTGTTTGATTATAACCTGGTGCCACGCAAATTATAGCAACATTTCATTATGGTTTAAAAGTAATCACAATATTTCTTCATTGCTGTTATAACCAAAACGGCTTAGCCTTACAGACTATGAATTTATTTAATTCTTTAGTTAGATGATTAAATATTAGGAGCACATAATATTGAAAGCAGGCAGTGGAACTAATTATTCTAGTTTTAAACAAACTGATAGCCACAGACCTTGATGACCAATCTTACATTAATAAAACATGTGTTTCTGCTATAAAAAATGAAAGCATTGCTTTAAGTTAACTAAAATGAATAAATTTTAATTAATTTGTATTGGCTACTTTTGCAAATACCTCGATGGTAGAATAATAGAACGATCTCAGAATATATCTTCTGTTTTCTGATCAGACTAACTGAACCGTAAATTGCTATGATGTTATGGGAGCCTAGTTAAAAATCGATTCCACGAAATTATAGTTTATCGTGTTTTATTATAACCTGGTGCCAAACAAATTATTGCAATATTGCTTTGTGTTTTAAAAGCAATTACAATATCCCTTCATTGCTGTTATATCCCAAACGACTTAGCCCTACTGACTGTGAATTTATTTAATTCTTTGGTTAGATGACTAAATATTAGGAGCACATACTATTGAAAGCATGCAGTGGAACTAATTGTTCTAGTTTTAAACAAACTGATAGAAACATACCTTGATGGCCAATCTTACATTAATAAAGCATTTCTTTCTTGTATAAAAAATAAAAACATTGCTTTAAGTTAACTAAAAATAATATATATAATATAAATATATATATATATATATATATATGGATAGCTACAATCATCCGTGCGTAGTGAACTATTGTGTGCAGCGAAATCCACCTCAGGGATATATGAGGTTATGCGTAGGGCTTGGAACCCACCATTTAAAAAATTCTTTCAATGCATACGAAGGGCAGCTTCGGATAAGGAAACGATCTACTGATGACGACAAACGCTAAAGTATTAAGGAATATAATACGGCTATAACAGCAATGAAGGGATATGGTAATTGCTTTAAAAACACAATGTAATATTGCAATAATTTGTTTGGCACCAGGTTATACTCAAACACGATAAACTATAATTTCGTGGAATCGATTTTTCACTAGGCTAGTCTGATCAGAAAACAGAAGATATATTCTGAGAACGTTTTATTATTCTACCATCGAGGTATTTGCAAAAGTAGCCAATAAAAATGATTTGAAATATATTTATTTCAGATAACTTAAAGCAATGTTTTCATTTTTTATAGCGGAAACAAATGGTTTATTAATGTAATATTAGTCATCAAGGTCTGTGGCTATCAGTCAGTATAAATCTAGAATAATTAGTTTCACTGCCTGCCTTCAATAGTATGTGCTCCTAATATTTAATCATCTAACCAAAGAATTAAATAAATTTATAGTCAGTAAGGCTAAGCCGTTGTGGCTATAACAGCAATGCAGGTATATTATAATTGTTTTTAAAACACTATGATATATTGCTATAATTTGTTTGGCACCAGGTCATAATAAAACACGATAAACTATAATTTCGTGGAATCAGATTTTCAATAGGCTCCCATAACAACATAGCAATTTGCGGTTCAGTTAGTCTGATTAGAAAACAGAAGATATATTCTGAGAACGTTCTATTATTCTACCATCAATGTATATGCAAAAGAAGTCAATACAAATGAATCAAACCATATTTATTTTAGATAACTTCAAGCAATGTTTTCTTTTTTTATAGCAAAAACATATGTTTTATTAATGTTAGATTGGTCGTCAAGGTCTGTGGCTCTTAGTTTATTTAAAACTAATACAATTAGTTTCACTGCCTGCTTTCAATAGTATGTGCCCCTAATATTTAATCATCTAACCAAAGAATTAAATAAATTCACAGTCAGTAGGGCTAAGTCGTTTGGGCTATAACAGCAATGAAATTATATTATAATTGTTTTTAAAACACTATGATATATTGGTATAATTTTTTTGGCAC